CGTTTCAGACCATACGCATTCGTAGGATGTGATCTTTTGGTCAGGATAATTGGTTTAACTGAGAATAAGCGAAATTCACACAAACATTATTATAAGTTAGGTTGTGGAATTTTGGAAATTAAATATTTAGAACCAATATCATTATATAATTTACTTAGATAATATTATTAATAAATAAATTGTGATTGAAATATTTTATAATAAATTACTATAAAATATTGCAACTGGATGTGTAGAATGATTGAACTAACCAAACAAATTCGTTAATTTAATTGCTAATAAGGTTTAGACATTTGCTCTTATATCATATGCATATCCTATATGTTTTATGCTTATATGTTTATATGCTTTGCTACCAGGTATTTATATAATCCAATTCGCCAATGTCCATAAGGGAGATGTCAATCGTTTCAGGGCTGACAATTTTTTCAAAAAATCTTGCGTCCTTCCTCTTCGGATTGGATCGTTTCCCACAGGGATCAGGTATGTTAGTTTTTTTCTTATAATTTTCTTGAGCTTGCATTTTTAGTTTCGTTTTGGTCAATTTGGGCGCAGCGATGAATCAATTTTTTTTTAATAGGATGATTTTATTTTCCAGTGTATAGATTTTTTCGTTATTATTTCTATTTTTCTTTATGATTACTTTCGGATTCGTGATGTTACTAAAGTTTATCGATGTCCAATCATTTTCGAGCTTGCTTTAATAAAATAAAAAAAAAATAGATTTAACCATTTTTTTTTTTTTTTTTTTTTTTTAACATTTATTAGTATCGGTTATTAATTCCATAATTTAAATTCAATTCTTTTACTCTCAAAATAACTGTATCTTTTATAAATAGCTTCTAACTTCTAACTGAAAAAAGTATTTTATTTCACAAATTGATTTAAATTTTTCATGAAACCTTATCTTACATGCTAGTTATTTTCTTGATCGTTTATCAAGATTAATTCGCCTTATTACCACAACATAAAAGTCAACAATCAATATTATTTTTTTATTTTTCTTAAAATATGTCACGTCATTTTGCTCGGAAAGTTTCTGATGAGATTGAGAAAATTAGTTATACCAAGTCGACTTCATTTCCAGGTAGTACATTAGATCTCACATGCTAATTTCAGGATTCATCCAATATTGAACTTGTAAGAAATATATATAGTCTGCCTCTGCAAACTGGCATAAACATATCAGTATAGCAATACAACAAGTTCCTTGAAAGTAAAGCGCCTCGTTGGTTCAAGTATCTACATGAAAATAACGGTAACGTACATATTTATCATTGACATGTTTGACGAAGAAAATTCCAGGCTCGCTTCATTTGTTTAAAAGCTTACAATGTCCAGCTTATATGATACATGTAAGGGAAATATTTCGCCAATCAGTTTGTTTGTAATCATTTTCAACCTTTTTCTAAACACATCCTAACTTAGGTAAAATGTTTAAAGCATTTATGGAAAGGTCAATTATTTCATATGATCTAAAATTCAAAATATTCTTATTACACGCACGCACATGCTTCCTTTATATCGGAGCTAGAGTTTAAATTGAGTTCCAAATATTTAAAGACTTAAAAAATTCAAGACGATTATCGAAAATCATTAATGTGTTAAAAAAAAATGTAATTTTTGGAGAATTTATTAAAACATAGCTCAATTTATATAAACAAATGTTATCGTTTCAAATTTAATTAAAAGATTCTCAATTTCGGTTGTAAATAAATTAAAAAACGCTTTTACTATTTATATCGACATTGCTATAACTTATATCATTTTACCGAAAAATCGTGCTAACCCAAAAAAAACCAATTTTAAGAATATCACAACATCCTTATTTAACAAACAATAACATCAAATAATCCTTACCCGGAGATATATGTGACTTTCTCCGGAATTCTCATAAATAAATTCTCAAACGAAATTTATTTTTTTTTATTTTTATTTTTTCATTTCTTTCCATTTTTTTTAAAAAAATAAAATAATAATAATAATAATAATAATTATAAACGATA